CTTAAGTTGTGAATTGTGATTCCAAAAAGCTAGTTGGGGTATAAGATATATATTCATTGTGTTAAAAATATAAGTTATTTTTTTGAGGAGTTGAGTATTTAAAAATATAAAATATTTTTAATCTTTTGAGATGTAATTATTATCTTTTTTTAAAAATATCCGTATTAATAAATAATTTTATATTTATTATAGAGTGTTTAATGAGATAAATATAAAAAATAAGATTAATTTGAGAGTAAGTAGTTATTTTATTATGTAAGTAAAGTTTAATTAAAAATATTTTATATTTTGTCATGTTTAGATTGCGGCTGGGCTGAATGATTTGTTCAGCCAAAAATGGAAGCAACTTTTTGTAGCTTTTAGCTTTTCATTTACAAATAGCTGGGTATGCTGCGTTTTAGAATTTTATTTTTTTTTAATTTATATATTATATATAATTATATGCATCATGGATAGTATATATTTTTTAGCATTTAAAAATATTTTTAATAGTATATTAACTCTTTTCATTTTTATAATTATAATATTTTTTAAAGTTATTAAATTGTATAGACAATATATATAAATAAAATTCATGTTATTTTGAAAAAATCATGTCATTTTTTCAGTTATCATACATCGCAATACACTTTTAAAGTGTATTATTTAGAAAAATTTAATTTATTAAACTGACTTTTTAAGGAAAAAAGATACTCAAATATAAGACGTGTTGTGACAACTAACATTTATTTTAATTTGAGTTTGCAAATTTTAATTTATAAAAATTTCAGTTTTGCAAACGTCAATCCAAATACACACGTAGCCGTACTTGCCTATATAGCTTATTTTATGTTTGTTTCACGCCTTGTGCACCAATTGTTTCCTCCTCACTTGTCATAACTTGTGCTAAGTTGTAACGATAAATCATTTTACTCTCGTTCAAAATGCATGCGTGCTTCCTACTCTAAAGAAAAATATGCTTTTTTTAAATAGAAATACTTACTTGTATAATTATATACTTCCTCCAGTACTATTTATAAATTACTTTTACATATCAAAATTTTAAAAAATCTTAAACCTCATTAAATCTGTATAAAAATTTAACAAGTTTTTAACTTTATTTATATTAAATATATCCACTTTAAAATAAGATAATTTAACATTTAATAAGCTTTCCTATATTTAATAGGGGTAAAATGATAAAAATAAACATAATAATAATTAAGGCGCGTTGTAAATAGATTAAAATGAATATTTTTCTGTCTTATGAATAAGACTATATAAATATTCTTGAAGAATATTAAAGTCAGGAGGGTGTCTCCCTTTATTAGGCTGAGACCATACAGGTGAAGAGAGAAAGAGAGAAGAGTTATGTTGAATTTGATACGTGAAGTAGGTGATGTCCACAGCTGTATATATATTTCGTGTTTGCTGGAATATGAAAATGAGACCAGGAGAAGAATGGGAGAGACATGAGATGAGTATGTTGGCATTAGGCATCTCATTGGCTGGTGGTGAGACCGTCAAGAGAAGCTGAGAACATGAAAGTCCTCCAACCACGAAACGTATGTGAGGATGCTAGACAAAGTCAACAGACACATCAAGGATTTCATTTCTTCTCTTCCCCTCGCTCCTCACTCCTCTCCTTCGTGTTTCATGCTCTTCCTCACATTCCATTCCACAATTAATTATTCTTTCTAATTCTATTTATAACTTATTTCATTAAAATTTTACCACTATTTTCTCTCTTAAAATGTTGGTGAGAGGAATTTTATCATTAAAACATGCATGGTTAATGAAAAAAATGGCTTTAGGTACATTGATTATTTATTCTATAATAAATTCTTATCATTAACATATTAAAATTTATTATATTTTAATTTAATTGAATAAAAGTATATTAAATATAAAATTAAGTAGTTAGGTCATGTTTATATATTTAATAAAAACGAAGTTACATATTTATTGAATTTTTGGATATTACGATTTATAAATAAGCGAAGAGAAGTATATATATCTTCAATTGAAAAAAATAGAGAGAAGTGTAAATCTACTTTATTTCTGCCTCTGTCGTTAATAATCAAAGTCAAAGAATTATTATGAACTTTGATCGTTTTCACCAACTCCCACTCAATGAACGGACAATCCTTCCATCCTACGTTCTTAAATATATCATTTTGTCGCTTATGTGATATCAAAGTCAAAAGGTGGCCAACACAGCTGACTAATTGAGTTTATGTTCCCATGCTCTTTAAAAATCGCAGCATTAACTAACTTGCGCGACACGTCATTAAGTAACTCGCAGCATCACTTGCGCGACACGTCATTAAGTAACTCGCAGCATCATCCTTATTCTTTCCAAAATTCATAACAAATCCATTAATTCATAAGTAATACTTGCGTCTCATTATTGTACCTGTTTAATCCATACATCTGAACATAATTATATGTAAACACTAAGAATATATTTAAATAACTTTTAAAAGTACATTCAAACCATATTTAAGATGTGCTTTTAACAAATCCAACAAATAATTAAATTCTTTAAATGAATTATTGCTAGATATAAACTGAAAACTAAATACACATTAAAACTAAGTAAGAAGGATGGCAAGGGAGGGACTACACTAAAAGCGAGTAATAGTTCCGGTCATTTAATTTTCATTATAACTTATGGCCTTTTTCAATATTAAATTAATTAATTTTGATAAATTGAAATTGAGACTAGAAGAGTGAAAGTAAAATTTTGAAATTTGCTTGTTTAGTATATAGGGACTCAATTCTTGAAAAAATTCAATTTTATCAAAAATTATGAAACTCATTTCTATAGTGTTCTTGTGAGAAGTCAATCTCATCATTTTCACTTAAATAAAATTTTTATTTCACTTCTATCATGATACTGAATATATTGATTATTTTACTTTTACTTTCATAAAGAAACAAAAAACTCTTTTCTTCCATCGAACTGGGCGGTATATGAAATTATAAATGAATCAGAGAATTGCTAACTTTGACCAGAAAATAGATTTTGTTTAAATTAGTAGAGTTAACGTGACTGACCCAAACAAGTCCTTTTCATATGGCACATCTCCTTAGAAACCTTTTGATTAATCTTGACTCAGACACTAATTTAATTACCAAATTAAATCTTTTAATGTAGCTTTTCTGGAAATCATCAAATAATTTGCACATGAAACTAGAAGCCTCATATTGAATGCAAGCAATGGACTGATTCAAACACCGATATGCGTACTCGGCTCCTTAGAAGCGGAAGGGACGAATTTGGTCGAATTCTCATAGGACGAGCACCAATTTGGCAATTTTAATTACTTGCAATTTTAATTACTTGCTATATTGTAAACTTTTGAAAAATAGACCTCGCAAATCACGTTTTGTCCGCAGCCGCAGTTCCTTTTCATCTATTTACTTACTTTAACTGAGATGTGATCAAATGACAGGAATAAGTGAAACATAGGATTTAGATTTGAATCTGATGATGAAATGCCCGCGCGCGCGCGCGCGCGCGCACGTTGGCTCTTGGTCGGTGAAGCCGAGTTGGTGAGTCTGTCAAACGACGAAACCTTGAACATGTTGTCAACTTTACCCTTACTATCACGTTCTATGAGCTTAACAACAGTGTTGTTTTTGGAAACTAGAGGCTGCTTTTTCAAAAGAAGGCAGACAGAAATGAATTCAAAATCATGTCTCTGAAAGCAGGGCCACCTGACCTTAGCAAGTCTGCCAACAAGCCGAGCACTAACTTTTCATCTTATTAGTATAATTGTCTCATTTCTTCATAATTCATGTACTTTAATTTGTTGATAAAGTCAAAATAAATGATATGGGAAAGGATGATACAATTTTGGTATAAGAAATTATGGTCATTAGGTATTGGAATAAGCATTCTGAGAGTCTGATCAAGTTGATCGCCTCGACTAATTAAATCGAGCCACAATAAGAAATTAAAAATTTTGAGAATCGATTGAACCAGACATATTATTTTATATTTTTATTTTTAAAATTTTAATTTGTATTTCTTTTTATTCACAATTTTAATTCGTATTTTAAATTTAATTTATACATATTATATATACTAATTATAGGGAAAAGAGAAGAAAACTGAATAAATATGCAAGGAATATGTGTGAATGTATATAAATGTATACTTTAAAATTATAAATTATAAAACAAGTACATGTATTTTGTATGAAAAATAATAGAATATTGATGTATATGGTTTTTTTTTTTAAAATTAATCTTTAGTCTTTTAACTTTTAAATCACTTGTAATTCAGTCCCTCAAATGTAACTCATCTATGACTCAATCCCTCAACTTTTGAATCACTTACAAATTAGTCCCTTAATTTTTGTTAATTTTTTTCATGTTAGTTTATATCTCACATCAATGGGCAACAGGAGGGTGTTTTTAAAATATATATGAGAATTTTTTTATCCCTCTTATTTGATAAGAAATTTAAAAAAAATTAAAAATGAGGACCGAGTTATAGGTGAATCAAAAGTCGAGGGATTAAGTCAGAGTGAGTTATAGTTGAGGAATTGAGTTACAGCGAGTTATAATTGAAGGATTGAGTTACAAGTGAGTTAAAGTTGAAGAATTAAAAGATTAATTTTTTATTTTTTTATTATATATTATTTTATTTGAAATTTTAACTTTCATTTTTATTACAATATACAATTATTTTTTTATTTTATATATATAATATTTAAAATATATCAATTTATTTATGATTAGTTAATTTTAATCATGACATCATGAATCAGTGCTTCAATCGATTTTATAGCCAGTTTGGCTTTCTTAACATTGATTGGGATGAGTAAGCTATTCAACCTTGATGATTAGGGCCTATTTGTTTAAACTTAAAAAAAAAAAAAGGTAATTTTGACAAGCTAAACAAGAAAAAACTATTACCTGTGAAAAGCTTCTGTGGATATGCTATTTAGATTCGTTAAAAAAAAAAAACAAACAATAACTTTCCTAAAATGCAAATCCAAACTAACTAGCTCACGTAAATAACTAAATGAGGCGAAACTTCGGAGCAGGCGGGGTCAACGCGGGGCTGCCAAAGGCCAAGCGAGGCAGTGTCCTATCTTAATTGCGGCAGAATGATGGAGGCGCTGAACGCAAAGACTCTCTCCAGTGTTCAAATGGGTCTTGAAGTGGAACCTCCAAGTAAATTCGCGTGGCTAACACGAGGAACCATTTATAAATTCAAACACCAATCAATTTCAAATTATTCAAACACTGCCATTGACTTTGCAATCACCAACAAGAACCGAACCCCGCTCTCCATTTTCTCCCCTTCAAATTCCCATTTTCTGTCTTTCTTTCTTCACCTGCTTCTTCCCCTTCAATTTATGCTAATTCTGTTGACTCAGCTAATATGGGTCTCTGCTTCTGTTCTCTCGCTCACCGTGGGCTCGAGATTAGCCCCAAAAGACCTCATGATTCAGGTAAATTGTCACGGTTTTGATTCCCTTTCATCACGAAGCACCATACCCATGGCACTCTGCATTATAGCATGTTTTCATTATCTATGTATGATCTAGTTAGTTCAGAACCCGACCTGGGTTTTGCCTGTTTGATGGAATTCTCCAGAGAAGCATGCTAGACTCCAATTTCCGTTTTGTAGGATCAGCGACTCCTGAGAGCAGGAATGTTGACTCATTTACGACAAACAGCACTGTAGAGAAGAGCCAATTCTCGATGATTGCAAGCGGAAGCGTCGACGAGACCAATGCTTCTCCAAATCGGCATGTTATAGAAACGCCTACTCACTTGAAGGTTTTCACTTTTGGGAATTTGAAAGCAGCCACCAAGAACTTTAAATCGGACTCATTGCTTGGAGAGGGTGGTTTCGGTAAAGTTTACAAAGGTTGGTTGGATGAGAGGACGCTTTCACCGGCTAAAGCCGGCTCTGGAATGATGGTGGCTATTAAAAAACTCAACCCAGAGAGTATGCAAGGCTGTCAAGAGTGGCAGGTAGCTTCAATTTCTACTCTTGTATATCTTCAGGCTCAAGCAATGTTCCTAAAACAGTCTAGAAATCTCAACGTCTGGTTAAAATATTATGCTATAGGTTAATTCAATTTTCGATTTGGTTATAATGTTTTGAAAAATTTATAATCGTTTATTTGCAACTTCAAAAAATTTTAAATTCTTTGACCCTTGCAACTGGGTCAATAGCTAGCCATGAAATTTATTAATATAATCAAGCATCTTCCATCTTAGCAGGTTAATAATATATATAACCTTTAGTACAAAAAGGGCAAAAACAAGTCAAGGGAAATGAAATTGCATGCTTATGTACAAGTACTGCCAAGAGTTGGAAGTTTTAGTTTGAATTCTGAATTTTGGAACTCTCAAAATGGGTATATGAAAAGATATGCCAGAAGAATTTAATGAAACACTAATTAAGCTTTAATTGGATAAAAAAGTTTTAAAAATTATAAGGATTTAAATGTGAAATTTCAAATTACAAAATCTAAATTTAAAATTAAGTTAAATTATAGGGACGTGAAACAATTTAACTTAGTGTTAAAATGGTTCTCAACATCATCTTGACCCAATTTGCAGTCACAGCTGTTGGGGTGTGGAAGTGCCTACCGTTCCTTATTCGACGGGAAAGTTTTAATTAAATGAATTTGACTCTAAAACTTGAAACAATTTAACTTGGTGTTAAACATGGTTCTCAGCATCATCTTGACCCAATTTGCAGTCACAGCTGTTGGGGTGTGGAAGTACCTACCGTTTCTTATTCGACGGGAAAGTTTTAATTAAATGGATTTGACTCTAAAGGATAGTCACTTGTCTCACGGAGTTTAGTATGAAAAATAATAACAGATGCATTCGGTCCCAGTCAAGCGACCTCTATCTTTTGATTCGTTGGGATAATTCCACATTGTTGAATGTTGACTTAATATGAGTGTACAAAATGAGCGTTTACTCCCCATTTTTATAATTTCTGAATGCTGTCCTTGTCTTCATAGACCCATCACATCATCATCCCCATCATCTCCTCATCCTCTTCCTCCTGATACGCATATGGCATATTTGCTTTGAGAAAAGAGTTAGTAATTAGGATGGTCGTATGCCATGAAGATAATACTGATGAGCCCTCTCCAATCGTGAAGAGAATCAAGGTGTTGATGCCACAAACCTTTGCTGTGTCTCTGTCAATATGTGTGTGTGATCACTGATCCCCCCTTCTATTTCCGTTCAGTAATAAATGAAACATGATTTAATGAATATTTTGAAAGAAATTATTAAAAAAAAAAAATCCTGAGTCCTGACAAGGGTTTGAAAGCCAGATGGAACTCTCATCTCTTTCTCCCAACTTTTGTTCACAGATGACAGACAAACCAGTGCAGTGAAATGCTGGAGGACATGTTTGAATTAAATTCTCTATGGTTTAGATATGTTGGAGCATTTGATGATTTTATTTGTTACGTTACATAAATTTAATGATAATCTCGTAGTCTACGTGAAACAGCTTCAATATGTTATCTATTGGACAATTAGGATAGAAATATGATTAATTTTCAATAAATTAGCTGATTTGGATAGTTTAGATATCTTTTTTAAGATTATTCTTAACAGATTTAGGCTGATTAGATCAACTGAATGGTCAGAATTTGTTTAAAATAATTGTCCTTTCCCGCTTAAAATTGAGAAGATCCTTAGGCTTTCTGCTGGGATTTGATCCCAGAACTTTCAGCTCTGGAAACAACTACAGTACAGTACTAATATATAGCTCCTATTGATTATGTAATGCAGTCAGAAGTGAATTTCTTGGGAGGCCTTTCTCACCCAAACCTGGTTAAGCTATTTGGTTACTGCCGGGAGGATGATGAACTTCTCCTTGTGTATGAGTTCATGCCTAAGGGAAGCTTGGAGAGCCATCTCTTCATAAGTATGACCTAAAACCAAATGAACTGAAAGGAAATTGCAAGGCCATGAGTCTGAGATCTAATTGTCTCTTTGTTCTTGTTTATGAGCAGGGATTCCTAACGTGGAACCGCTTTCTTGGAACACACGACTCAAAATAGCTATTGATGCAGCTGAAGGCCTGGCCTTCTTGCACACTTCAGAAAAGCAAATCATATACAGAGATTTCAAGGCCTCAAATATATTACTTGATGGGGTTAGTTACATCTCGCTAGTCATCCTCTTTCTGTTGTTGCCGTCCTATTATTAATGTAGTATCACGTAGGTTTGAATTGGCCAGTTCGTAATCCTTTAGTTGTTTTACAGACTTATGCTGAAAATATCTGGAAATCTATTGCTGATTAAAGTATTAGCTTGAGCTTTGACTAAAAAAAAAAAAAAAAGCATTAGCTTAAGTGTACATGTGTGCTTTCTTTTTAACATTTATAAAATCAGTGGTCTATCTATTTATATACGCTGGATTGCAGCGGTCATATTGATGTATTTGTTCTCTTGCCACCTACAGAGTTTTAAGGCTAAAATTTCTGATTTTGGCTTGGCTAAATTGGGGCCTACTGGAGAACAATCACATGTGACTACGAGGATCATGGGCACATATGGCTATGCTGCCCCAGAATACGTTGCAACAGGTAAATATTACACAAAATTTAAAATTCAAGTTATTAATTATATCTTCGCGTGTTATATCTTTGTTTTCCTTTAATAAATTTTTTCGTGCATAAAACTAAAAAATCATGGATAAATATGTAAATGGTTATAATAGCATTAGTTTTCCATAAGAATTTGTTATTTAAAACTAACAAATCATGTGCTAGACATCTTTTTTAAGCACAAACCACATTTAATTTGCTCTTATGGAGACATTTGGCACACCATATCTTCGTCTTGTCTGTTGGATGTCAAGAGGTAATCAAGATTCAGATTAGTTGGAATAATGGTGTTTTTGGATGACTAATCTAGTCTGTTTGGTGTCATTGTAAAACAAAATGGATCAAAAATGTGATTGTGTCGTTAAGAAAATTTTTTGGTTAAGAAATTTTTTGTGCCCTGAAATAAAACAAAACGATAAAAACAGAATTAATGGTAAGAAATAATAATAGAGATATAATAAATATTGCATATTTCAATTTTTATGCAAGGAAAGAGGAAAACCTTTCCAACTTGGTAAACAAAAAGAGCTCAAGTCATCCAAGATGTCAGGAGGTGCATAATGATACCATTTTGGGCAATATCTGATACTACCTGCCCATGGGAATTTCATAATGCTGAAGGAATTTTACTTATCTCAAAGATCTAAACACATGTGAAACTCCTAAAATAACACTTGAAGGAAGGGTATGCTACTCATGATTAATTTATCTTTTTCTCACAAACCTAGTAGGTCTAGTTAGGAAACTCCCCATCACGAGTTATTAACTTTAGTACCATCATTGAACAGGGCACTTGTATGTAAAGAGCGACGTGTATGGTTTTGGTGTAGTGTTGCTTGAAATGCTGACGGGTCAGAAAGCACTTGATTCAAAGCGGCCATCTGGACAGCACAATCTGGTTGAGTGGGTTAAGCCATGCCTCAGCAGCAAAAAGAAGTTGAAAACCATAATGGATGCTAGAATAGAGGGACAATATTCACTCAATGCAGCATTTCAAGCAGCTCAGCTTATTCTCAAGTGCGTAGAATCTGACCCCAAAAATCGTCCGGCCATGAAGGATGTAGTGGAGACCTTGCAAGATATTGGAGTTACCCAAAACAAGTCAAAAGGTTCCAACAAATGTTCCCAATCCTCACCGCGTCGTCATCATAAGAAGCCTAATCATCACCGATCAGTTCATGATGGACACAAAATCGTTGATCTATGAAATGGAGGTTGTATAGTAATGTGGGAATTTGACACAAGTGACTACGATCTTTTGAAGTAATTTCATATGAAGTGGTGAGAGAGGGAGGGAGAATTGAAGCTTATCTTTGTGGGATTACAACAGCAGATATGGATCTTACTTTCCTCCTTTATCGTTCTCACTTTACCTGAAGTACACTTGGGGTGATTTGTACTCATGGAAAACAAAAAAGGGGGGGGGGTAGATCAAAGATGAGCAGTCAAAGTGAATTATAAATTATAAATAGTCCTATAGCATGTTATCTTTGAGTACTTTATGATTGATTTAACCTACTCATCTTTTTGGTTTGCTTGTAAAATTTGATCAACAGTGTAGGGTAAATTAGTTTTTTGATAGATATTTTTTTTTTGGGGGTTGGGTGGAGGGGATTTTGACAGGCATATTCATACATTGGTACAATTGTTGTTTCATTATACATCTTTGTAAAAAAGTGCTGTAAAATATATTGTGCACTGTGTTCATGTAACTTCATTGTAGATTCTTGAAAGACAATTTTGTTCGATTTAAAATTGTCTAAGTTGTTTACATAAGCTCAAGTGAAACTTGTCTGCTTTTTTTTTTTTTTAAGTAAAAACACAATCATCAATTTCTATGATTTTATTAAGTTTTACTTTTAGTTCTTATAATTTTTTTTAATGTTTTTAGTCTTTATAATTTCGGCAACATTGAATGATGTCTGTTACTCATATTTCTATAATTTTAGTTAGCATTAAGCAAATGGGCTATGGGTCAACTTGCGTGGGCTAATGTTTTTGTGGGTTAGGTTGGGTTGGGCCTGCCCGCCAAATAAAATGGGTTTAGAAATCCAACCCAACCCATTTTATAATGGCCTGACTTGCAAAAATATACTAAATTTTTTCTTTAATAATTTAAAATATATACAATATAAATATATATCTTTACTCCACATTTTAGGACAAATTAATAATTAAAGAACTTATAAATAAATAAAATAAATATAAAATTCTATCAAGTAAATTTTAGTCTATATTACATGATAAATTAACAATTAACAAGCATCCAAACACAATCACTATAATTTAAATTGTTCAACAACACATTGCTTGAGTTCAAACTCCACTCAAACTCTAAATTAACAACAAGCCAGCTTTTAAATGAACACAATGCTTAAAATATTGTTATTAAATCCCTCCCTTTCTTTTCTTCAACACTTAGAAGATAAAGCTTGCACATATAAAGGCATCTTCACCTTCCCTTTATTATCCTCATATTTACAATTTAACTAATCCTATTAGTTGTCAAACTCAAAACCATGAACCACACACAAACATATTAACAATTTATTTTTTGGGTAAGGAACAAATTAACAATTTAACTAATATTATTTCTTGTTAAACTCAAAACCATAAACCACACACAAACAAATTAAGCAATAATGAAGCTAACAATAACTTCATAATACAACTTTCACATAGTAGAAAGTCAGAAAGTTCATTATCTCCACTCCTACTACAATGCTAACCTATTTATTTATATGCTTGAGAAAAGATGAGATCCACCACTCACCACTCTTATTTTTTTATTAAAACAGAAAATTTAGCCCATAATTTTTTGCAATTTGGGCTAACTCAACTCATTTTACAAAACAAGTTCATTTTGCCAACCCAACCCACCAAAATTGTCGGGCTAGCGAGTTGCCCCATGGAGTTAAGTTTGTTTTTTCGGCTCTAGTTTTAATATTTTCAATCCTTATAAAAATTAAAAATATTAAAAAAAAATTATAAGTACTAAAAGCAAAATTTAATACAGCTATTGGGACTAAGGATTGTATTTTCCTTATTTTCATTCTTGAACAAGTTAAATTTAAGAGCAATCCATTGAGTTACAAATCAATATATTGAGTCTAAAGAGACTAGCTTTTTTTATTGTGCATAAATGTCTTCTTATTAGAGATAACTTTGTTCAGTGTACATTAAATGTAAGTATCTCTTCTTATGGGGATTTAAATTTTGATTCATTATGTTCTAAGAGACTAATTTCTTTTGTTAGATTCAACCCCATTTGGTTAAACTAGTTTCTTGTTTTTTTATATAAAAAAGTTTAGGTGAATTAGGTCCCAAAGACTCATTACTATCAAGATATGCCTCAAGTCTCAAAGAACACTTACATATGTAATTACATATTGTCCACTAATAAGATCCTCATATTAATAGTAGGATTTGAACCCACGAACTTATGAGTTATAAGCCAAATTTTTACTGACTAGACCAACCTTTGTTGATTTAGTTGCTTATTGATTATGTAAATAAATCTTTTCCTTTTCTGTTGTACTTGAAAAGAAATGTTTATTTATTTAGGCTATTTGACAGGACCAGATATCAAATAAGGGATAGGCCTGAGAGCTCATCTCTCTTCTAGGAGATTTTATCTCTCTAACCTTATTGTTGCTACTGCTTTGCTTCTTCTTTATTGCTATCTACTCCTCCTTCTAGAGAGCTCCTCCATCTTTCCAGTCAATCTTATTGGAGAGCTGGTCTCTCTTTCGTACCTTCCACCGCCTTTATCTGCCGTACCACCTTTCTTTTTTTTTTTCCCCAACAATTTCTCTTTTCTTTTCTTTGTTTTTGTTTGAATTTTCATTTTCATTATTCTCTTTGCTCTTTCTTTTTTTTTTCACTGTCATTTTGATTTTTTATTATCTTCTTGGTCTCTTCTTTTTCTTCCAATCTTTTTTCCTTCTCTGTTCTTGCACCGCCTTTTTTCCCAACACTACCTTTCTTCTTTCTTTATTATAACCCTTCTATTTTTTATTTCCATATTTTGCTTCTCCTCTATTTTTTTTATCTTTTCTTGCACTTTCTTTTTCTTTGTGTCTCTTTCTTTTTTGTTTCTAGGTTTTAAGAAGTTTCCTAATTTATGATTTATTACTTTTCTTAATCATATTCTCTTATTGTTTGATAGATTTTTGTTTTTTCTTATCCTTGTTGCTTTGACTTTGTATGAAATGGGTAGTGTCATGCTTTCCCTTACTGCTTTAGGCTATTCATCCTATATTTTCCTGGTTTAGTTTATTCTTGTTTGCAGGCATTTTCATTTAGACCTTCTTTATGGCTTTCAAGTTCGTCCTTTGGTCTTGGAGTTTATTTTTCCTTTATGGCATGTAATGATCTTCATTATTAACTTGACTTAAACTCAACTAATAATAAATTTTATAAATGTGGCAAAAGCTAACCTAAAAGAAGCCGCTAATATTTAAAGAACTTGGGATCCTAGAGAGAATCATTTGAAATAATTAATGAGCAAATTTATTGAAGTCATAGTAGAAAGAATTTGTGAAAATATAGAAAAGATAGAACATTGAAAGCTGTTCAAATAAGGGCAAAATAAGTAATTCAACAAGATAGCTCACATCATCCACGGCTAAGGAACCCTTCGCTCTAGTCGACAACACTTAACTTATTTGCCATAGCTTATTTACAATCCACCACGACATGTTGCATAGAGACTACCTCATCGTGACATATTATAAAACGACACATCTGCCACAACCAAGCACACATTTGCCATGATGGAAACTCTTTAAGAGCACAAAAATATACAGCATAAAATTCTAACTTCTAAACTACTTAATTAATTGTCTAGACCTCTAATTAAGGTAATTCAAATGTCATACACAGATAAATAAATAAACTCTTTAATGACTACAGCTTCATCTCAATCAAGTATTAAACAAGGATTCTGGAGCAATTGGTACCAAAACATGCATTCACAACAGGACATACCAACTAAGTGTTCCCCTTCATATATATATATATACATACCCTTACAAAACTATATCTATACAGACACAACATCGACAAGCATCATAGTTCAAAGTATTAAATGACATGCAATATAAGAATAGTCTAGTTGGCAATAATGAACTTATACTTACACACAAGGAGAATAAAGACATTAGAAAATGTCTTTAACTTGGTCTCCCTTTCTCCCATGCCATACTTACAGTCATTCCCTGAAAAGCCAAATGAAGAAAATAGCAAAGGAGATATGACATCTCAGTAACCAAGATACAAAGATTGAGGCACACATATAAGTAACTAACATAAAGTGCAATACCACATACTTTCTATCCATCGAACCATTTCTTTATAAAGCATGTATGAAATAGCTATGTAATGCACATGACCATGCATTCCTTCTTATTACTCTCCTTACATCTTCTGACTAAATCTATAAGCTATTAATAAAGTATAGAACTAACCTATATGACTAAATTAGCTCTGCTCTCCAACCGTGAGTGGTTGCCTGGCTAAGGTACCTACACTCACTTTTAGACCATAGATTCCTACTTTTTGAATGCCAGAGTGTCATAATTGCCCAACCCATGCCATACCAGTAGGTTAATGATAGTACTGAGTGCATGTAATTAATAATTACACCATCCATTATGTGTAAACTCAGTGGAGACCATATTATATAGATTTTCAATCATACCCTCTACTAACACTCGAGTGAACCCTTACCTATTTATAATCATTTAAGTTCAATATGTAATGAATAGGCATACTCAATCATATCATAATAAATAATAACTCTATAACTCATGAACTTGCATGCATTTCTCAATACATAATCCATAATCATGCAAAACAAATCATGCTTACATGACATACTTATGTATATATGACCTTATCAAAGCTTGAATAGCAAAGTTCACTTTATCAATATCAATGATTAGTCAACTGATGCATTCGTACATACAAATCCATATAACTATATGTCCATATTTAATGCAACAAGGCTTCTTATATCAAATTTAATAAATTCAAAGAAGAGCATTAATCTCATGTTTCTTATAATAACATCATTTTATTTTAACATTCCTTCCTACCTATGTTCATATATAATATATAATGGCATACCTTTATACTTTCTCATACCATAATATCACAAGTGACCCATGTAGACCTTAGTTTCATCATTAATGTCACAACTTAAATCTTATATTTTTCATATAGCTAGTCTTTAATCTCATGCATTATCATGCTGAATTAAGCTCTAGTAAATAGTTTTATGCATAAAACGCATATAAAAGAAATTAATTCCCGGTTGCCTCAACCCCTAGTTTAGAAACCAAGAGCTTGCTTGACAAACCTTGAAATCTCTAGCCAGCTTAAACATTCTAAGGTAGCTAAGAGTCTAAAACCTACAATTATTGTCATTATACACTATTAATGACTATCCATTATAAATCATCCCCTTTCATCCCTCAATTAAAAGTTAAGACTTGTAACATCTTAAAATTTAACTTGGAATTAAATTAATTAGTTAAAGAGTTTAAAATAATTAATTGGATGCATTAAAGCTTAATAATTAGGCCAGAAAGGCCTATTTAGCCCCTAAGAGATTTTAAATTAGGGTTTTAAGGATAATTAGGCTGGTTGTGCCTAGATTTAAGGGCTTTAGTGATGATGTCCTTTTTGGGCTTTTCGCCGTGGCAGACAA